AAAAAAAAATACAAAGTGGCGTCAGCAGTCTCAGCTGTCATATCAGACCGAGACAATTCCTTATCGTCTCAATTTTTATCCATATAATCTGGGCCTTAACGACAAAATCACGCGTAATATGACGCTGTTGCAACTTATTTCGCCCTCTTTTTAAGGACAAATTTGTTGGGTTATCGCACTTAAGTGAAGCAATACTCAACCGAAGTCTGTAGCCAATTTGCGTGCGCTGTTCATTCAAAGAGTATCGCACAATAACGTATGGCTTCGTTTTTTTTTTTTGCCTCGTTGATGACCGGCAGTACAGCAGGAAAAGTATTGCCTACTTTACGGATTTGAAGGTTATAGCTGTAAACGCAGCTCTAAACTGTTACCAACGAAAAAAATACAACCATTCTTTTGCCACACATACATTTACTATTGTATCTAGCCTGCGTAACCTTAAGTTTGGCAAGAACTCGGGCTTGTAACTATCATATGCGGGGTTTCCATTATCAAATTATGACAGGCTTACTATGAACAATTCATTACAGACTAATTCTGAGCCAAGAATATTTTCAACGATATACATTAGTCTGACGTTGAAATCAGGCTAATTTGAAGACAGACTAATTACTGTAACCTCCCGCAGCAGGTTTTGTTGGACTGCTACAATGGTAACGTCGTCGTCTTCTGATGTCGCAAAAGTAAAAGTGATGTATTAGTTGGCTTGGAGATTATCTGGTGTCATCTGTGGTCAGATTTTCATGTTCTCGTGTCTGGGCTGGATGTTTGTTCCAACAGGTTTTGTATCATCATGCATCACTCGTATTCAAATTCACTTCTGGTTAATATTGAGAAATATTTCCACAGCGTTTTTTCTGCGAATTAACCAGTTTTCTGACGGTCGTATAGAATGGCAATGTTGAAATGTTCTTTTGTTAGTGCAGGGCTTGTGTAAAGTTTCACACTCATGCGGCGATGTTACCAAATTGAATGCCGTCTTCATGTGCAGAGCATTTGTCGTCCTCATCATCTATTACAGCAGGCAACTTGCTATTCGGTGTTGTGTGGTAGGCTTCATTATCTGAGGGAAATCGACCTAATTTCTCTAGTACAACCCGGCAATCCCTCGTTAAAAATGGAAAGGTTTTTGTTTTGCATAAGAGGATGGGATATTTGCCCAGTATCAAGAGATCGCCCCACGGACGCGCATACATGTACGTACATCCGGCCAAAATGCTTTTAGAAGTCTACAAAGTAAAATGTTACTGTTCCGACGGATAATTACTGCCAAACGTTATAACACGTTGAACTTCTATAACGAACATCCTGGGTATCCAGGCGGGTAATCACTATCACAGGTCAATATCTCCTTTGGTAGCAGCAAAAAAAAAAATGATTAGGTCACGTGATCAAACATCGTTTGATCACGTGAAGGGCAACCCGCAATAATATAATATTCACAACAATCAAATGCAAATGTGGTTGTATTCAGTATGACTAGCAGTCTAGGTGGCATTTGATTTTTCTTCATCGTCTTCAATCTCGTAGTCAAAGGAAGTGTCGTACACAATGCCCAGGTCTTCGTCTGAAAGCTCCGAGTCAGCGTCACTACTACCACCGCCAGGTGCACAGTCATCGTCGTCGTCACTGGAGGAGCTATCAGTATCGCCAGTGTCAGGGAGAGTTGCCCGTCTCGGAAAGCGCATTGGTGGCCTCAGAGGGGCTTCAGCATCGCCGGATATTATGCTTTTACGGAGTACGACATACTCCCTGGCTAGCTCCTCAATAGAGCGAACGAAATACTTTAGTGATGGATGAGGCTTCATCCTGGCATTCAACTCGCGGTGAAATCGCTCTAAAGGGTTATTCGTCCTATTCACGATATCCCTTTTTACTCGATATATATTCCACAGATCAGGAGGGTATGTTTCCAACCAAGTTTTGGAAAAGTATCTCCAAAACATTTTCCACTTTCTTCGAGAATACGCCAGTCCTTTTACATTGCAACGCTTTTTTATCTCGCGTTTCACCCAAGTGACACCCTGGATAGCTATTTTATCTGGATCAATTACTGTGAGCATGTCAAAAACCCCGAACGACATGGCAATTGAAGCCTCGTCATTTGGCATGCGATACTCTTTCAGTTTCCTTCTACACGCTTGCTTGAAGTGAAACAAGCAACCGACAATGCGTGTAGAAGGAAATAGTCCTCGTATAGCAAGAATCATGGCGCCTTCAAAGTCACACACGACATCTCCGGGCTTAATGTCCTTTCCCAACGCAAACTCGATGCAGGTAACCATTTTGGTGTACAGTGTTTCAGTTTTGTTCGTTGCCAACGTGAAAAATACCGGCACAAACAGCTCTGTGTATTGGTCGTACATCATTAGTGTCACGAACTGATGAAAGCTCTTTGGGGTGCAGCGAAATGTGCCATCAACAAACAAATGGGCACCGTCAATACGAAGCAAATTGCGAAGCTCCGGGTGCGACCAGCCAACAAGCCTCTCAATCCCTGACTTTTTCTACTTTGCTCTAGTGTCATCGTGCCACACGTACTGAAACTGAAAAAAACCAAGATCACTGCCAGATACTTTGGATCTCTCTGGACTCTCCAGTAAAGAAAAAATATTGTTTCCCGATTTTGAGTTTCCAACACGTGAAACCACTTGCTTGCGAGAGAGACCACGAACAACACAAGTCGAGTTTTCGTAAAACTTTTTATATGTCAGCGTCCAAATTTTGTTTGCTGAAATATCTTGCTCAGCTAAATCATCGACAAAAGCTTTCATTTCTTCTTCCACATTGACGCAGACCGAATCATCACTTGCCAAATCAGCTACGGGTCTGCTTTTGCATGTATGTGGAGCTGAGCTTTTAAAGTCGTAGGTCATAGTATCAGCGTAGAAGTACAAGACGGCAGGACACAGCTTTGGCTTCCTATAGAAGCTGCATCTGTAGGTTATTTTAACTGCAGAAATCTTTGCACGAGTGTACTCAAAACCCTGGTGGTAAATTTTGGTTTTACCATCGCGGCTTTGCTGGTGGGGAAATGTCTGCGGCGATCCAACTCGTGGAGGACGTGGAGGACGACCAGGAGAAGACGGTATCAACGCTTGACCCTCGACAGCTTGGTCAGGCTGCGAGCACTGAGATAATGGGCTGGCTGCGTATGAACCTGTTGCAGATGGCAAGCGCAGCGTTGGCGGTTGTATCGGAGTCGGCGTTGCTGGTTGTGTTGTAGGGGAAGACTCGACTAACGTCAACAACGACGCTTCATTATCCTCTAGTGTGTAATGGGGACTTGTTGAACGGGTTCGCGGACGGGATGTAGGCGAGTATCGAGCTCTACGCGCTCTGGACGACGAGGGTGAGCGACTCATCAGCAACTAAAGGAGTTTCTAACAATGATCTCCCGACCGCCACTCGCTGAAGTGTCTTAATACGGCTACGTTGGCAATTACAACTATCTAATAATAGACTTGCGAATTGGTTGCTTCCC